GCATCTGAACTGGCGAACCCGGCCACTGAAGCTGAATGTGCGAACTCAACCACTACACCACGGGGCCGGCCCCACAGAGAGGATTTATGTCTGCTTTTCTCAGTCACCTGAGCAGGACCAACCTGAGACTCTGTGGTAGGCAGCCTCTAGGATGACCATCAATGACCACTCCCTCGTGATATTCATGTCCTTGTGTATCCCTTCCCCTTGAGTGTGGGCTGGACCTAGTGACTCACTTCCAAAGACTGGAATACAGCAAAAGTGATGGGATGTCACGTCCAGGATTAAGTTACCAAAAGATTGCCCATCTTCTTGCTCTTCTCTCTCTCTCTCCCCCTCTCCCTCTCCCTCTCCCTCCTCCTCCCCCTCCCCCCATCTCTCCCTCTCTCCCTCTCTCTCTCTCAGTACTGGACCTTGGAACTCAGCCACCAATTTGTGAGGAAACCTGGGTCACATGGACATGCCATGTGTAGGTGTTCCAGTGACAGCTCCTGAGCTGACAGCCAGCAGCAACTGCCACACGTGTCAGTGAACGAGCCTGTGGATGATTCCAGCCCTAATCTCCGAGTCCTCCGGCATCAAGGACCCAAACATCATGGAGCAGAGACAAGCCATCCCCACTGTGCTCAGTTTGAATTCCTGGTCCACATAAACTATGAGAGATAATACATAATTATTAATTATTTGAGTCACTAAGTTTGGGGGTAATTCATTATGCAGGAATAGATAATTAATACATATATATGTCTGCATATGTGTGTATGTATCTGTTTGTACATACATATGTTTCCTGCCTTTGTCCACTGAGAGCATCTAGAAACAATGATAACCAAGGAGCAATGAGCACACCTAGTGTGCAGGGCTTGGTTTCAGAATACCAATTCTCCAGGAAAGAAAGAGCTGATTCCAGAGCTGGGCCAGAGAAAGTACAAGATGAGCTTGGAACTTCTTGTATTGGAAACTAAGGAAGTGCTCAAGGAATAATGGAGATATGTCTAAAGGACATAAAAGCCAATGTGAAGGGGGCCACACCGGCCATATCTGGGAACACCTGAGCATCAAAATCAATAATGATTGTAAAGGATTATAACGTATTGAATAAAACAGGAACCTAAGAGTTCATACTGATATATTAAATGAATGAATGAATAGTAGAGAAGGGAAAGCCTATCTTTCAGTAGAATGCTAACTAATACCATTTATTAATAAGTAAAAACTACTTATTACCTTTACAGTGGAGAAATCTAACACACTATCTTAACCAAGTGATAAAAATAAAAATTATATCAATACTTATGGGACAAATCGACAGCACATGCCTCCTGATATTATGCACGGAGATCACAGGATCACTTCTGGAATATTCCTGCCAAAGATACATGACCTTGGGCCGGCCCCGTGGCTTAGTGGTTAAGTGCGTGTGCTCCGCTGCTGGCGGCCCGGGTTCGGATCCCGGGCGTGCACCGACACACCACTTCTCCGGCCATGCTGAGGCTGCGTCCCACATACAGCAACTAGAAGGATGTGCAA